GAAGAAACCTGAGTGAAATGAGGATAAGCCATGTGAATTTCTGGAGCAAGAGTACTTAAGGCACGGAAATGGCAACTGCAATAGTTTTTCTGAACTGATGGCGGAAAGCATCCTTGGTTCCCTCACTCTCTTCCCAGCACAGAAGCCCCTGGGAATCCCCTAAGAACTTCATGGCTCCAAGAAATGGTTAGGAAATCTGGAGCCACAGTTCTCAAAACTGCCTGGTACTGATGGCCCTATCAATATGGGAATAAGAGCTGCTTTCCCAAATGGTTCTAGCACTAGAAATTGATATAGTGGGAAACAAGGAGTTACTCTCAGTATCTTCATTCTTAATCAATATGATGTCAAATTAAAACCACAATGAGATTACCACCTGTTAGAATGGCTATCATCAATAAATCAACATATAAGAAGTCCTGGAAAGGATGTGGAGAAAGGAAATCCTTGTGCACTGTTGGTGGGAATGCAAACCAGTGAAGCCACTGTGAAAAACAGTATGAAAATTCCTCAAAAAATTAAAAGATAAAATGCCATATGATCCAGCAATTTCACCTCTGGGTATTTATCCCAATAAATATATATCCCCTATGTTCATTGCAGCATTATTGACAATAGCCAAGATAAGGAAGCAATCTAGTTGGCCTTTAATAAATGAATTGAGAAAGAAGACTTGAAATATCTAATGGAATATTATTCAGCAATAAAAAGAATGAAATCCTGCCATTTGCGACAACATGGATGGACCTATTGAGTATTATGCTATGTGACGTAAGTCAGACAGGGAAAGGCAAATATCTTCTTATTTCACTTGTATGTGGAAACTAAAAACACAAAACAAATAAACAAAACAGAAGCATATCTATAGTTATAGAGAACAAGCTGATGGTTGCCAAAAAAGGGGATGGGACTAAAATTAAATACATGAAACATGAAGACAATAAGGATTCACAGAAATGCAGGCCTTTTAATGCTTTCTTTTTATCTTCCATCTACTCTCTTCCAATTTAAACTTTTTAAAATATATATTTTTAATAATTTCAGAGAAAGGGAGAGGGAGAGAGATATAGAAACATCAATGATGAGAGAGAATCACTAATTGGCTGCCTCCTGCACGCCCCTGACTGGAGATTGAGCCTGCAACTTGGGCCTGTGCCCTGACCAGGAATTAAACTGTGACCTCCTGGTTCATAGGTCTATGCTCAATCACTGAGCCACGCCGGCCGGGCTAATTTAAATGTTTGTAATCTAAATCTGACAGAGCCCCACCTCACAGACTTGATATTGAAAATTATGAATTATGATTTAAGGAAAATGGCTAAAGAAAAACCGTAATCCCTCAGCAGTCTACTATACAAGTTACAGATGGAACCTAAGGTAAACTAGTGACCTAGTCAAAGTGAACACCAAGCTCAACTCAAAATCAAAGTGTTACTGAGAAGTTGGACCACATTGTACACTTGGTTTTATAACTTATTCCTTAAAATAATCCCCATAAAATGTTCAGTCTTAGTTAACCACCAAGGAAATTAAAAGACAAAAGTCTCTAGGACAAACTATCCTTCAAAATATATCCTTGGGAATCCCATGGTCAAGGACCCTGAACATGTTTCCCCATGAACCTCTACTTAAATTAGGACGCCATCATGGACATTAAAAGAATATCTGCCTAAAACAATTAATAATAATTGTCTACTTGACCACAGAAGATATTCCCTTGGTGAAGAAAATGGTCCAAAACTTGGAATTAAGGGAAAACCTGATTTCAGATCTTATCAATGTCATTTTGAAGCATTGTCAAATAGGCCCATCCAAGATTTATCAAATCTCTGGAACATAATTTTTTTTTACTTTGTATTTAATTGAGGATCAGGCTTAATTAATACAAGATTGGTAAGCTGCAAATGATTTCGTCCAGTAAAGATGCACTGGATATCTGTAGACATCTCACTTCAAAGGCTACAGTTTTATTGTCCTGTATCCAATTTAACAAACTTATGTCAGCAGCTCCTTCCTGGTTGATCCACATCCCTCACATGTAATTTAACAGCTTTGCTGTCCTCCTGGACCCCTCATTATGAGTTCAATAACTGTTGACAAGTGCTCTTTACATATTTTTATGAAAGCCACATTTTTAACGTATTGAAAAGTTTACTATGACAGTTTGAATGTTTCATGATGGAAGACTAATGTCTGGATTTAATTAAATATTTGTTGTCGGGCTTAAGATACCTCACATCAACACGTTTTATTTCCTTTGCCATTTCCAATATCTAAGAGGTCCCAATGAAATAATGACTGCTCTAATGCATCTTACAAAACTTTGCATTATCACACCTGTACATGAACTGCTTTCTACAGTTGTATGTTTTAGGAATCAGACTAACTTCCCTGGCCAAAATTAATAATTGATTGTAAATTCCTACCTTTCAGTTCAAATGCAATGTTAGTATTTTACAAATTATTTTAGGTGGATTTTCTGGGAAGTCAAATACTGCATGCGATATTTAACTTATTTTTTTAAGTGGGAAGCTCGGTGTTTCCATCAGAATTCAACCCTTTAAAAAGAGGATGGAGGAAACTGGACGCTCAGCTCTACCCTTCATGGGAATGAGAGAGAGGTATTTTACATAGGCTTCTCTGGCTTTGAAGTTTAATTAACATGTTTCCTACTATAAACTTGTTGGATAACATTACCTTCTAACAAAAAATTATCAAGAATATTTCAGAAGGGACATTTCTTTTTAATGTTTTTTCAAGAAAGACTGAAGCATATAAGCAAGTAACACACGCTTTATATCCATATTTCTAAAAAAAAACAGGATTTTAAATGGGTATAGTTGCCATTTGGGGGGAGGCGGGCAGTGGGTGAGGGCAGAAATGAAAGAATTCATAATATTCTGTATCCTGGGACTCTTTTTTTCTGTAAATTAAAATTTCTAATTAGTATCCAACCCAATGCTATCAAATGTCACATATATATTTTTTGTATAAAGTAGAAAATTCAAAGAAAATTTTAACAACTAGAGGAAAATGGACATTTGGATTCTTGCTTACCAGGATTCTCCTGAGACTTAATTTCTATATGTGCTCTTGCTTCTCACACCTTAATAATATAATCAATTGATGTTTTTCTCTAAAATTACATGACTCCTTACTCATGATAAGAGCTATTCCAATGACAAAGGAGAAGGGGCTATTTTTTAAATAAAACAAACAGATAATAACATACACAGTGCTGAAATTACCTGGAGGGGAAGTGACAGTAAAAAGAAAGCGCCAATTTGACCCAGAAATCAAAATTGCCAAGTTGGAGAAGCTCACATAACCATCTCGAGTTTCTGCCTGAGTACACCCTACAAATGAACACACACAAAAAAGAAAATGTTAGTTACCTATTCAAGAGTAATTCATTTGAGTCTTCTCTATAGAGAGGCAATTGGACAATAAAGGAAACTTATTTTTTTAATTAAAGAGGTTACTAAATCCATCAGGATCAGATTAAGTCTTATACAAGTCTTAGAACCAAATAATCCAATAATAACAGCTAACATGTATTGAAAGCTTAACCAGACACTGTGCTTTCTACACATTATAAATACATTATATGTACATTATAAATAAGCTTCATAAAAACGTATAAAATATTTTAATATCTATATTATTTAGGTAATAGGAAATAGGCTCATAAAATATTAAATTACTTAGTTACTGGGGTTATAGCCCAAATTTGCCTAATTTCAAAGTTAGCATTCTTAACCACTGCTGTATCTCCACTAATTTATTATTAAATGTCTCTCAAGAAAGAAATACCATTGTCTTCCTAGGTGGTCAGTTTTTTGGCTCTGCCTCTCTTCTATTCAAAGGTTCTATATTTTATGTGAGGACAAAGTTAGGCTAATTGATCAAGACTTCAGCAACGCTTCAAATCATGACTGATAAAGATTTAGCAACTTGAATTGCCTGGACCATGGTCTCCCTGAATAAAATGCAGAAAAGAAAGCTCACATCTTCTAAAAATGGGTCATCCATCTATAAAGTGAAAGAAGACAACTCCAGGCAGGCTCACATTCACAATGCCATTAATTAGTCTTTTGACTCCACTATCCTCAAATTACTTTGTTAATTAACAGCTGCTACTAAAGTCACTATGGAAAAGTCACCATGATTGGTACGATGGACAATGAGATAGGAGAGTGGTCTTAAAGTTTTAAATTGGTTGGAGATCTTTTAAGGCTGAAAGGTATCATAAAGATATAACATGCTTAGTGTTCATATTTCAATTCAATTGCTCAGTCCTTTTGATGAAAACATTGTCTTTCCTCATCAATTTTGCAAAGCTAACTAAACTTCCTTTTTTGGAAACATCTTTTCCTTCATCTCGTCAGAGTACCAAAATAAATAAAATGCCCAGAAAAAAATGGAAATAAATAAGCCAAGACTAAAATAAATGATAGGCGCCCAAGATAAATGCAGTTTATACTCTTTAAAACCTATATGCATCAAAATTATGGTCCATAAACTCTTGCAAACAATGAACTGCAGAGTACAGATGTTCAACATGAAATCGTTTGCTGCAGTTTTTCCTTTGACAAACGTCCTTATTGTTCCCATCTTTGGAGGAATACAAAGCAGCATTTAATCGAAATGTGTCCGTGGAGCACAGTGAGTCTGCCTCGTAGAACAGCCGCCAAACTGCCTAATGGAAAGTGCTTCAGCTCCAAATGGGTTTGCTTTTGTGTTAAATACCAGCTTGCCTCAGAGATCTCTACAAAGATTCCCATATATATCTATGATATTCTCAGATTTGAAGCATATGCGCTCAAAAGCTGAGGCAGTTGCTGCCAAGTACAGTACATTACTCCAGGGTTCATCATATCTCTGGAATGATAATTGTAAAATATACCAATGCCATTGCCAGGCTCCCTGACCAAGCTGGTATAAACAACGTACTGGCTGCGGGAACTTCCACGAGATGGGGTGTTGGGCTTGTGCAAAACTGAAATTGATTACATGACTTAAGCAGGGATTGCTACCTGAGTGTTTCTGCAGGGCATATGGTTTCTAAAACACCTTTTCAGCTCAAGTTCTCTGCCATGCCATCTCTCTTACCTCTAGCTAAACTAGCAAGCTATTACATATTTATATCAAGCTATATCATTAATGTTTACACTTTATTTTTTTAAATATTAAGACCATCTTTTCCTTACAACTAGCATTTATAATTATCAAAGGATCTGGGAGGCCCTTAAATAATAGTTTTTGTGTATGTAAATCTGTTTTTTAAGAAATAATCTCTTTTTTACTGAGGAAGGTCTACTGAGACAAAAGAACATGAAGTTAAATTGCAAAATAAAAGATTTACACTAGATCTATAGGTATAGTTTTGTTGTTGTTATTTTGATTTTCCCCAGGAAATACTCAGAATAAGTTACATAATCCATCCCAAATGGATTGGGTTCCATTTTTTCCGAAGTTAAGTAGAACTATTTCATGATGGTTTTAAAAGATACTTTCAATCAAATGAAATAGAACGTTTTGGTGATGTGGGCTCT